TCTCTACTAAAAATACAAAAATTAGCTGGGCATAGTGGCATGCTTTTGTAATCCCAGCTACTTACGAAGCTGAAGCACGAGAATCGCTTCAACCCCCACTCACACCAGGCATCCTCTCTCTTAGGAAAGCCAGCCGTGGGAGCAGGGTGGAGGGGCGCATCAGGGCCACATTGCCAAGACAACCCCCTGGTGCACCGGAGTACGCCCGGGACATTCCCTGAGCAGTGTGACCAGGCAAAGAGGCCTTCTGCCCCTGCCTCTAGGGTAAATGCTAACCTGGCATCTCGGCCCAGGGGTCTTCACTCAGTGGGGACACTGCCAGGCCCCGGGGAACACTCAGATGGTTTTCAATTTGTGTGTGGAAGGAGAGAGGAAGAGAGACTGGGAAACATCTACAGATGTTAATTTTGTTTTAATTCCCTGTTTTTCCCCTTTCCTTTTCTGTCCATTCAAGAGGAAGCTGACCTATATTCTCTTGCCTTGTGGGAGACAGAAGGCAGAGAGGAAGCAGAATTTGCCTGTGCACTGTTTTGGCTTCTGTTTCTCAAAAGCCTAGGTCCTTAGAAGATTTTGGAGGGAAACAGAAAAGAAACAGCAGAATGGCTGGGGAAAACATGGGGGGACAAGGAGAAAAACTATCACATAGTTTGTGCGGCCACATAAAAATGCAAAAATGCAGAAACAAAAATTATTAAGTTTTTTTTTTTTTTTTTTGAGACAGAGTCTTACTCTGTCACCCAGGCTGGAGTGCAGTGGCACGATTTCGGCGCACTGCAACCTCTGCCTCCCAGGTTCAAGCAAGTTTCTGCCTCAGCTTACTGAGTAGCTGGGATTACAGGCATGTCCCACGACACCCAGCTAATTTTTGTACTTTTAGCAGAGATGGAGTTTCACCATGTTGGCCAGGCTGGTCTCGAACTCCCAGGCTCAAGTGATCTGCCTACCTCATCATCCCAAAGTGCTGGTATTACGAGGCGTGAGCCACTGTGCCCGGTCCAAGAATTTTAGAAACAGCAAAGCCTTAAAACAAGCATGAGGCCCTTCTCAGGGTAGGGACAGTGTGAACGCATAGGTCACACACCCAGAACGCTGGCCCTGGACAGGAGTGTCCCCCATATTTGACAGAAAACTGGTTCTGGAGTTTGGGGCAGGGGGAGAGAGAGGCTGTTCACAGGTTCTGGGGAAATGAGGACCTGGGACCCCCCCACTCCCTGGCAGTACTGGTGAGGAGCTGGTAAGACCCCCAGTCTATGTACTTGGGGAGTACACAGACCCTAAGCATAGGGTTCCCAATCTCAGATTTCTGGTCCCTGAACGTGGCTCAGAGGCAGCACAAACCTGAAAGGCCCTATGGACAGGACGATGGGAAGGCCTGGTTCTGTTTACAGATAAGGAGTTGCAGAGCCCCCCAAACATGTCTGGGTACTGTATAAAACCCTAAGCCCCTGGAACTGGTGCAGAGCATGGCAGGAGCAGGTGGAGGCATGCTGAATTACTGATGTTAATTTTAAGCCATCCCGGCAGAATGAAGGCTTAGAGTCAGAGACTGACTCTTCCTGTTTTATAAAAATGAAAACGCACTATTTCTGGCAAATCTGGATTTGTGGATCAGGATTCGACCTGCCACTTTCAAGTCCTAGTTCCAGGCTCATTTCCATGGCTGAGCCTTAAGAAAAGTCAGGCAGGAGGCTGACGCAGTGATACAAGCGATAGATGAAGCTGGGACCACAGTTGTCAGATGGTAGAGATAAGGAGAAGTAGAGAGAATCTAGCGACTCTTAGGAGGTAAAATTGACAAGACTTAGAGGGCACTGGAAAGAAACAGGGTGGTCTGATCACTGGCATAAGCAATTGGCTGGGTGGAGGTACCATTTACTGACATCAGGAGTACAGGAGGAGGACGAGTTGAGGGGTAGGTGAGATGGGTTTGGTCAAACTTGTTCGGTCCAAGATACTCAAGAGAAGATGTCACATGGGCAACTGAATGCATTATGTGAAGATTGGAGGAGAAGTCTGGGCTGGAATTGTGCATTTTAGAGTCATCAGTTTTGAGGGTGGTTATTCAACAATGAGCATGGATGAGACTCCAAGGAAAATAGTTGAGAAAGAGATGCGAGGGCCTAAGAATAGCCTGAAGATCCCCAACATTGGATGGTCAGGCAGAGGGGATGCACCTATGAAGGCAAGTCAGAGAGTAGGAGGCAGCTGAGAAGGCTGCACCATGGAAGGCAAGAGAAATGCAAAGGGAAGTGCATTGTTGCTGAGAGGTCAAATAAAGTGAGAAACTAAAAATGCGTGCTGCATTTAGTAACAAGGAAGTCACTGGTGACAAAGCCATGTCGTTGTAGAGACAGGCTTGCAATTCCCAAAGGAGAGAGTGGGAGAGTTGAGCAGGGGATAAAAAGAATGGAGATGGGGAGACATGTTATGTTTGGCTATGAAGAGGAGAGGGAAAGGCTATTGCTATAAGGAGAAATGGGATTGAGGAAAATCAATTAAAGATGATTAAAGTTATTGTCCTTTTCATTTTAACAGCTTTATTGAGGTATAACTAACATACTATAAGATGTACATGTTTAAAGTGTAACAACTTGAAAAGCTTTGCTATATGAATATACCCGTAAAATCATCACTATAATCAGTAATACACACACACACACACACAATTTTTTTTTTGATACAGGGTCTCACTCTGTCACTCAGGCTGGAGTACCATGGCGTGACCAAGGCTCACCGCAGCCTGACTTCCCAGGATCAAGCAGTCCTCCTGCCACCCACCACCAACCCCCAAGTAGCTGGAACTACAGGTGCTTCTCCTGCCTCAGCCTCCCAAGTTGCTGGGACTACAGGTGCATGCCACCACACCCAGGTAGTTTTTGTATTTTTAGTAGAGATGGGGTTTCACCACGTTGGCCAGGCTGGTCTCGAACTCCTGAACTCAGATGATCCACCTACCTCGGCCTCCCAAAGTTCTGAGAGTGTAGGCATGAGTCACTGAGCCCGGCCCAAGCTAACTTTTTAATCATGTTTTGTAGAGACCACAGGGTCTCACTATGTTGCCCAGGCTGGTCTCAAAGTCCTGAGCGTGAGAGACCCTCCTGCCTTGGCCTCCCAAAGTGCTGGGATTATAGGCATGAGCCGCCATGCCAGACCAGGAATATATTTTTCATCCCCCCAAAGTTTCCCTCTGCGCTTTGGTAATCCCTTCTTCCTGCTCCTCTCACTCCCATTCCCCGGCATCTGTCACTATAGCTTGCATTTTCTAGAACTGCATATAAATGGAGATGTATACAATCGTATTTATTTGCTCTTTTTTTGACCTGACTTCTTTTACTCAGCATAATTATTTTGAGATTCACCTATATTATTGTGTGTATCGATAGTTATTTCTTTTTCTTTTTTTAGAGACAGAGTCTCGCTCTGTCACCCAGGCTGGAGTGCAGTGGCACGATATCAGCTCACTGCAACCTCTGCCTTCCATGTTCAAGTGGTTCTCCTGCCTCAGTCTCCTAAGTAGCTGGGACTACAGATGCCTGTCACCACCATGCCAGGCTAATTTTCTTTTGTATTTTCAGTAGAGACGGGGTTTCACCATGTTGTCCAGGCTGGTCTTGAACTCCTGACCTCAGGTGATCTGCCTTCCTCAGCCTCCCAAAGTGCTGGGATTATAGGTATGAGGCACCACGCCCAGCCAGTTATTTATTTTGATTGTTGAGTGTTTTCCCATTGTGTGGCTACACCATAGTTTGTTTATGCACTCATCTGTTGATGAACATTCAAGCTATTTCTAGTTTGGGGGCTATTAAAATTTAAGCTGCTTTGAAAGTTCATGTACAAATCTTCAGATGAACACAGGCCTTTGATCCTCTGCAGTGGATAACTAGGCATGGAATGGCTGGATGTAATTTTTAAGAAACTGTCAAACTTTTTTCCAAAGTCATTGCACCATTTTACATTCCCTTCAGCAGCGCATGAGGGTTCTGGTGTCTCCACATCTTTGCTAACACTTGTATGGACAATCTTCTCAATCTTAGACATTCTAGTAGCTTCTCCTTCTTTTTCTGTCCCTATCCCATTTGGGGTGGGGACAACAAGTTAGGAAATGGCCACATGTAGGAGGGCAGAGGGAAAGGCGAGAGAGACAAGGAGACGAGGCAAATACACTCCAGGCTATCAACACTCTCTTGATCAAGAGTGAAATGCTTTTCTCTCTTCATTAAGAGTCTGTTCCCTTGGGACAAACCCAGTCACTAGCAAATGTTACTTTTTATGGAGCATCTGGTCAACATGTTAGCTTATTGCCTTCCAGGCCAGGGACCCAAGCATGGGGCAGGGGTCCTACAGGTACCTTGGCTGTGGGAGACTCCTCTACAGTCACTGTAGAGCAGGAACTTGGGGAAGGGAGGGTAAGGAGATTCATTCCTCACCCCTGGAATATTGTTTTGGCTCACACCTGATACAGCAAGAAAAGACAATAGTGTTTCTCTGCCCTCTGGGAGAAGATGTGCTGGTATGGGCAGGGGGAAGGGAAGGCATTCCCTTCCATTCCATTCCCTTCCATTCCATTCCCTTCCATTCCATTCCCTTCCATTCCAGGCATGCACTTATTCCCCTGTGAAAAGAGCAGCTTGTCCTGCTGAGGAATCTGTCCCATTCAGCCCTATGAGATATGTGTCCTTTCTATGAACAAGAGGTGCAATGTGTAAGGAGTGAGGAGGATTAAATCATATTGAGGGCCTTCGGCAAACTCTGTTAAAATAATAGATTTTTATGTTTGAGGCCAGGGGTTCAAGACCAGCCTGGGCAACATAGTGAGACCCTGTCTCTACAAAATACATACAAAAATAAACAAAATAACAAAATTTTAGTCAAAGCTAAGCCCATATCTAAAGTTGGATATACATACCAAGAGCACATGTAGGCCAATGATGATGCTGAATTTTGGAACCAAGAACTTATATCCCAAATTTGAGAGTAAAAAGGAACCCAGATTACAATACCTGTAGCCGCTGGGAAGAAAACCCCAAACACAGTGAAAAAAGATTCCCCGGGGCTGTAATCAGGCAGCGTGTTGTTCTGTAGCAGTTCAGGTGAATATCCGATGAAACCATGTTCTGAAATAATGCAATGGAGAGCAACATGAGCCCAATGAGAAGACACAGGAGGCATTTCCCCAGATGACAGTACTACTTCATATATTACTTTAAATGTTGGAAAGGTAGGGGCATGTGTGTGACACACAGTGACAGAGGGCTCTGCAGAACCATCTTCCTTCCCACTTCTAAGGTTGACTTTTGTGTGCTGATCCCATAGACACAGGTGGATGAAATAACATGAAAAGAAGCAGTGGTTAGTTCTGGGAAGGGGAGCATTTTCATCTTTTGCTTCACAGACTTTAATATAGCTGAAATATCTCTCAATGAGCATGTATTTATGTGTTTGTTTTCCATTTAAAAAATCAATCGATATTTGCAAGTTACTTCCCTACTCAAAAACCTTCAACGAATCCCTAATAGTTACAGAATCAAGTCCAAACTCCTATCAAAGCCTCCACAACCTGGCAACAGTCACCACTCCCTACTCATCCCTTGCTTTTTCTCCTCCCCAGCAGTCACACCCTGAGGAAGGCCATCACCCCCACCCCCGTGCCTTCGTTAAGCAGTCTCCTGGCCTTCCAGACTCTTCTCCCACATCTCTAAGCATCATATTGGGCCAACTCTTCAAGCTCAGCTCAAATGGTGCTCCTTTGGGCTTTATAAGGACTCCCTAATCAGAATCTATTCCTCCCTCCTCACTGCTCTTGGCGCTAGGTCTGGCCACAGTAAGACCTTCCCCAACTAGATTCCTTGAGGCACGAAATCCAGGTCTGCAGGTCTCTATCCCCCAGAGCTAAGCACTGCACTGGTGCACAGTAGCTAGGTTGCAAATATGGGTCACACTGAAAAGAACCTTTCTCTTAGATCTCTCAGCCTATGGGCACATCTCGCTTCCACACTTTCAATTCGACTTGTTCACAGACTACTTTATAGCAGGAACATCTCAGATCTTATTTCCTCAAAGCATTCAAAGCATTTTAAACATTTTTGTACATCGACTTTAACAAAGTTTTTTCAAGTGGTTTCAACCCTGCAGGCACATTGCTTCTTTGTCAAAGGAGGTCACTTTGAACAGCATCTGTGAACACGCTAGTGAGCTGTGGAATTTTAAGACACAAGTCAAGTGTTCTTGGTTTCAGGAACACCCAGGATATTCAGCCTCTGCTTCTGAATCTCATCTCTGAGAAGGAGTTGGTTTGTTCCTATTAATTGTTGTCCAAAAGAAGCCAATCCCTACTCCTTTTCCCTCAACCCCTGTGGTGCCGTAGGATGGGTATTCAGCTCTCACTCCACAGCCAACCCTAGGGTTTCAGGGACAGAATTTCCCCAAGCCTCATCCTCCACCCACTTGGAGCTTAATTACAGCCCAAGCTTCCATCCACAAAAGAAGGCTCCTGCCACTCCGATGAGTCCAGTGAGGTCGCCCGCGCTTCACACAGCTTCCAAGATTCACAACTTCATAAGAAAAACATTTTTTAAAAAAACAATAAAACGAAACCTCAGGGAAGCACAAGAGACCCTTGAGAGTTCAGTCAGGACTTAAATCATTGTCAATTGCTTTATTTTGCCTGAATACAGAATTTGTTCTGGCATATTCAATCCTAAGCGCTGTACAACTTTTCTGAATGGTTTGGCGTCTTCATAGCTGGCCCTCCCCTCATTAACAAAAAAGCAATAATAGCTAAGTTAACTTTAGCTTATCCGCTGGCTGACCTCACTGATGAGTCTTAAGGAGGAGAAAACCAGCCCAGCCTGTCTTGGAACTGAGCTCAGCCAAGCTGGACCGATGTGCAGATCGGAAAGCACATCTGAGCGGAGGGCTGTACGTGCCCGGCAGGCCCGCCTTGCAGGACATAAAACACTTCATCAGGCGCGTTCATCTTCAAGGGCCCAAGGGCGGCCCTGACACATGGGAATATTTGGTCACCGGGCCTGAGGGGCTTTGCTCTGGCCAGCCTGAAGGTTCAGAGGGATTTCAGGCCCAACAGATGAGTCACTGGGAAGCCTTTTCTCGCCTGTTCCTTCAGCAAGACCCGCAGGCTGAGATAATGAGTCACTTGGCTGCCTGTGGGCCTGCCTCAGTTGCCCTCTCTTGCAGGGCTAATGAGAAATGGAGCCCTGCCACATTCGCAAGTGCACACTCACACTCACACTGCTGCTGGCCCAGCCTGCTCTGAGCTGGAGCCAAGCTCAGTACTGAATCTTGCTCAAGGGAATAGTCTTAACTTTGCAAAGAACACTATGGACAAAAATACGTGTCAATGCTTTATTTACAATAATGTAAAATCGGGGGAGGGGCCGGGTGCAGTGGCTCACGCCTATAATCCCAGCACTTTGGGAGGCTGAGGCAGGTGGATCACTTGAGGTCAGGAGTTCGAGACCAACCTGGCCAAAAGTTGAAACCCCGTCTCTACTAAAACTACAAAAATTAGCCAGCTGTGATGGGGCATGCCTGTAGTCCCAGCTACTCTGGAGGCTGAGGCAAGAGGATTGCTTGAACCCGGGAGGCAGAGGTTGCAATGAGCCAAGATTGCACCACTGCAGTCCAGCCTGAGCAACAGAGCAAGACTCTATCTCAATTTTTTAAAATTTAAAAATAAACATAAAATAAAAAACATCAGAGGAGGTTCTAAATGTCTAACTATGTGAGACTGAGACATTTTAAAAGCTTATAAAGAGTCTTTAGTATGAAAGAAAACTGTCCATGTTATATGTAATATATGTTAATTCAGAAAACTGGATACCATTTATAGTATAAATACAAAAAAAGGTGTATTAATCTATACATGTAAGAAACAGCTAGAAGAAAACACACTGAAATACTAACTGTGGTTGTTTGTATAATGCAATTACAGGCAATTCTTTTACTTTTTTTTAATTTCTACAAAACATCCACATTTAAGTTAATGGGCTGAGTGCAGTGGCTCATGTCTGCAATCCCAGCACTTTGGGAGGCTGAGGCGGGAGGACTGCTTGAGCCCAGGAGTTTTAGACCAGCCTGGGCAACACAGAAAGACCCCTTCTACAAAACACACACACACACACACACACACACACACACACTTATCTGGGCATGGTACTAGCTACTCAAGAAGCTGGGGTGGGAGAATCACTTGAGCCCAGAAGGTAAAGGCTGTAGTCAGCTGTGACTGTGCTACTGCACTCCATTTTGGGTGACAAAATAATTTTTTTAAATGAACATAATCTACTTCTCATCAAAAAATAATACCTTTTAGGAAAACAAACAAAACATCCCACAATTGAAAGCCTACTTTCTCCAGAAAGCTTTTCTATGTATGAAGAGCTTTTCTTTCTTTCTGTTTATACTCTATTTCCCAAAATGATTTGAGTGGCTTATGAGAAAAACATAAACAAGACAGGGAAAATAAAATAAGGACCAAAGGAAGAAAGAAACTGAGCAAAAGAGAGAGAGGGTGAGAACACCCCCACTTGTACCTGCATGACCCACAGTCTGAGGCCTTATTCAGAGAGAATTTTCTGTTTTGACCAAGCCCACTGAGGCAGGGCATTGGATCTGGTGGCCCATCCCTCCCATGGGCCACTTTCCAGTGGACAAAAAGGAGCCCCCAAAGCTGGCACAGTGGACCCTGCCTCATTTCCTCTGCCCCTATCTTCCCAGGCCCTTATGACTTGCACCCCTCACCTATCACCACCCCGCCTCAGGGTCCCCAATCCTGAGCCAGTCCCCAAAGAGTCTTCCTCACTGGTCTCCATCCTGCCTGCTGGGGCCTGAGTCTCCTTCCCACACCCTGAACCTGGTGGCCCAGCCAGACCTGAGGCATGGCTGACTCTCTGTTGGGCTTATGCAGAGTGGGTGCCCAGGGGAGGAACTGATGGCTCTGACTGGCCGGTACTGGCTAGTTAAGCACGGTGTGAAGTCAGCAGGTCACACCCAGGATTAGGGCTGAGGTCCACGCCATCTGCCATGCCCTCCAACAGTGGCTCTTAATGCCTGACTTGCTGATGCCCAGACCAAAGGTTCCTAATTCTTTTCGTTGCCCCATTTGAGAGTCTGATGAAAACCATGGTCCCTGTCCCCATAGACACCACATTTTGCATATCATTTTGGGAGAGGGCAGATTTCTGAAGTCTCTCTGGAGGGCATGGACCTTAAGGTTCGAGACCTCTACTCTAGCAGCTACATCTGTACCTAAGACTGTCCCGCCAGGAGGCACCCACAACTTCCCAAGCCCTGACTGCCGCCGTGCCCTGCCTCAGAATGGACAGCAGCCCTGAGAGTGACGCAGCCAATAATGTTTTAATGCCATAATCCTTGCCAAGCAATGGCCACCACTGTGTGCACAGAGATTGTGCAGGTCACCCCAAGAACATCACAGAGCAACCTCACTTCTGAAAATAATGCCAAGCAACCAATGACTGAACCCTTCCTATGTGCCAGCCACTGAGCACCAAGATCTTACAATGTCATACTTGTACAACGACTAACTGAGGACACCGAGGATCTGGAAGGTGAAAAATCTTGTTCGAGGTCACATAGCCAGATGTGTCTGTATTTCACCCACTGCCTCTCCCGGTGGCAGAACCCAGGCCACTTTCTCTAGGAGGTGGGTCCCCAGGCCCTGGCACTGCACCCCCTTACAGAGAGATACCTACAGCACAGGTTGCCTTTCAACCCCAGGAAACATGCCCACAGAGATCACGGCATCTCCCCCAGCCCCATCTGTGTAGGGCAGGCAGGAGTCCTATCCTGTGCCAACTGGTATGCGACTGGCAGGAGTTTACACAGCTGGGAGGACACAGCCCGTCCTGGACCCCACATCTGAGTGAATTCAGGTCTCCATCTACCACACTGTCCCTCTGTAATCCATCCCAAAGTCATTCCCCAGGAATTTCCTTTTCTTTTCTTTTCTTTCTTTCCTTTTTTTTTCTCAAAGAGACGGGGTCTTACTCTATCACCCAGGTTGGAGTGCAGTGGCACTATCGTAGCGCACCGCAACCTCAAACTCCCAGCCTCAAGCAATCCTCCCACCTTAGCC